CTTTGCTTTACATCTTTCTTCTGGATTTCATGGTGTTCCTATTTATCCTATGATTGTTGTTGTGATACTAATATTGTCTCTTTTTTGTCATTTTGTCTTTTTATTTTTTTGAGTCGAGGGTCTTTCGGAAACATCCTCTCTACTCCTTTAGGGTAGGGGTAAGGTATGCGTACACACTACCCACCCCAAACCCCATTAGTGGAATTTTATTGGGTTGTTGTTGTTATTGTTATTTCTTTTTTAAAAAAATATGATCATCTTTCATAAAAAATAATGTTTTCAAAATGAATTTTGCCTTAGTTGTATAATGTAATTTTTCATGGGGTTCAGATGAACTGTCTTTCGCTAGGGATGGGCGCTCGGTACTTTGGTACGGTATTTAAGAATTTCGGTACGGTATTTCGGTATTCGATTTTTGGAGTAGGGGTAAGGTCTGCGTACACACTACCCTCCCTAGATCCCATTAGTGTAATTTTACTGGGTTGTTGTTGGTTTATCAATTATGCATACGAAATACCTTACCAAAGTAATTCGGTATGGTTTGATATTTTCTTGTTTGGTTCGGTATGGTTCCGGTACGATTTTGGTATTGTTCCAAGTTTTGAACGAGAAACTGATGAATTTTAATTCATTAGAAATCACATAAGAATATGCAATTAATTATTTTAATTCATTCTAGTTCTACACTGTCAGTTGTAGAGTTGCCTACTTCTGGCAACAAACAGAAACAAATATAAGAAATGATACCAAAAAGCAACAAGACATTTTGTTCTATAATCTATATTGCCTGCCTAGCTATGGGCTTATGGCAACAAATAGAAAAATATTGAAGAATTAAGAAAAAGGGAGTACGGGAAAGGGACTAACGAAAATTTCGAAGCCTAGTGACTATTGCTAGGTTGGACTTAGATCTACTGGGCTACTGACGAGGGGACTACTAACAAGTTAGTATTTTGGGTTGGGAATTGAGAGGCATGGGCCTGGGTAGTAAAGGAACTTTTACTTAAATAATTTGGTATTTCGGTATACCGAAGTATTGAAAGTTCAATACCGATAACCGTACCGAAGTACCGAACTACCAAACAAATTATACCGAATTAGTACCAAAACACCAAAGAATCGATACCGAAATATCAAATTAATTTGATCCGATTTAATTTTTTGATTTTTTAAATTTTATGCCCACCTCTACCTTTTGCCCCTAAATCCACCTCTGATTATCATGGTGACTCCTTTACGGCATGTGCAGCTCGTATAGATGTAGTAGAATGAATTCTGAAAGTCAGCGCTCATTATGCTTTCTCGGCCGTCGGCATTTGAACGTCTAATTTAGGGATGCTCTTTGTTCACTTAGTAGTACATGGATGTACACAGGGGCGACCTAACCTTATCGAAGGTTTAAAGCAAAATCTTAATAAGAGGCTTTAATACATATATATATAATTTAATGAATATCGTTTTAAAATAAATTAGACAAGTGATGATGTAGAATTAAAAAAAAATTAGAACTTAATTTTATAAAATACAAAAAATTAAATGAATTTAACGTTGATTGCATCACAACTGAAATGGGAGAACCCAGAAAACATAAGTGACTCCTTTTTTTTAGTAAGTCCCTTTCTATATTTGGTAACAATTCAACTTTAAATTTTTCTTTTTACCATTAATGAAATGATTTCTAGCCCAAAAACTTTTATAATTTATTTAAGATTACAAGTTTCAAAAGCCTTCCTTTATTTCATAAAATTCATGTCCAGTCAAACACTTTCATATAAATTGGGACGGAGAGAGTATAATTTATGTAAGAAAAATAAATAATAAGTTAGATTATTAGATATAGTTACGTGATCAACTAATGAATAGAGAAATATAATTAAGTAAAATAAGATTGACAAAAAACTATTTTAGTTATATTAATTAGGAGGAAATCGAGTTATTAAAAATTAATATGACAATAAAGAAATAAATTTATCAATAATAAAAGATAATTATATAAATAATATACTACTATATATAAAAAATACTAGTAATTTTGGGGCCTTTAAATATTTGGGGCCTAAAACAAGTGAAAGGGTTGGGCCGCCCCGGATGTACCTTAAGTTTGAGGCATAGTTTAGGGATGTTTTTAGCAAAAAAAAAAAAGCCTCATTTCTAAAATGTAGCTGAACCTAACATTTCTCAAGTCCAAAATTGACCAAGTTGTCGCTCGTCTTATATTTTAAAGCATGTTTGGCCAAGTTTTTGGGAATCAAAAATACTTTTTTTATTTATAAAAAGAGTACTTTTTGCA